TGCTGCTGAATAAACGTATTATCAGGTCATAGTTGGTGAGAAAGTGGAAACTTTCCTGCTCCAGTCTCGCTGTTCCGCCTTTTACCCTTCTCGCCCCTTCATGTTGTGAAACTAATTAGCCAGTATCTCTGATAAACTTTGTCCTCCAGCTACTTCCTAATGATGTCTGCACCCTGAGGCTCGCACAAACAACACCAGCTAAGTCTTTTGTTTCTCAAAGTAACCTAAATCTTTGGATGGAGAAAAAAAAAATGCAAGCAGAGGTCAGAGAGGAGGATGGTAGAAATTGTGATAAAGGGAATAAACTGACGCTGAGAAGGTGCAGGAAATAATCTGGATGTACAGTGAGGGCAGAAGTCTGACTTTATTGAAGGGATATTTGGCAGCTGGCTTGCAGAAGTCCAGACGAATCAATAAAGGTAGTGCTTGACTTGCTTTCTTAAAACTTCTCTCCCCTGCTGCTGGAAGTTAGTTTCACACCAGGCAGCAAGAAACAGACATGATCCTTCTGTCAGGAGATTCCTGATTGTTTTCCTTTTTCCTTCATCATCCAACTCATAGCATAAGAAGTCTGTGAATACATCTTGAGGGCTTGTATTACTTATTATTGTGTTTGACTGCTTCTGGTAGCTCAGATGACGCCATTGTGGGAAAGGGGTTCCTATCAACTGTGTTAATTAATCACAAATTTATTTAGGCACACGGACTGTGTGCCTTTTTTCTGCAGGACTCCTTTAAAACAAAAGATGTAATCAATCTGATACCAAGCTAACTCCGAGTTAATACGCAGCCTCTGGCTCTGCTGTTTGGTTTGACTTGTATGGCATTAAAGCTGCTTGCTGGTTGTCTTTGCTCCTAAATCAGATGTGCCTTGTTTACTGAATTCACACACAGTGCACACAAAAGTTCAGTGTACACAGCATACATAAGACATAGGCAAATTATAGCTACTCTGGACCATCTTAATGCAGCCCACAAAGTCCCTAGTGGAATTACTTACAGTGACTCTGCACTTCTGTTCGATCTTAATTACAATGCAATGTGTTTCATCAGTGACTTGTGCAGTGGTGCACATCAGAGAACTAGTAAGCTGTAGTGATATTGTCCTCATAACCTGCAATCAGGTTTTAGGTAAACTCTGTGGCATTAGCATGCTGTATCCGAATAATGATGGCACTGTGGAAACAGGAAATGTTGCTCGCCCCTGTTAATCATGTTGAGCATTTTCAGGTTTGTTTGTGTTTAGGGCCGGTTAGAATAGAAAGGAAAGTGACTGTGGCCTCAAAACGCATAAATATTGCATCACATTTGGGCCTAAAATTGAAAACTATTGAGTTGATTTGTATGAGTGGAAGTTAAAATAGAAAGAAGCACTTACCATTAATAATTAACACCAAGCAGTTAAAGAGTCACAGCTACCTTTGAGGAGACGATGGTGACCCCAGCACCCCACTGTTGTTGTGCAACTAGCAGAGATTTGGCAGGTGATTTTATTTTGTATGATCACCTGATTGATGATTGCTGTGATATTTAAAAAGATCAGTGAAGGTATGATGAAAGTAATAATCACCATTTATACACACTTTGTTGCAGTTATAGTTGCAATCTCTCACAAACTTGTTATAGATCAATTTGACTGATGTCATTAATGCTGTAATTTAAAAAATGAATCCAGTTGATAGCACTGTTGCCTCACAGCAAGAAAGAAGGGTACGCTCTTGGACTGAGACCTCCTGGCTGGAGATCATCTGACTACAGTCATTGTTACTGAACTCAAATGTTTGCCATGTTATTTTATCCTGCAAGATGCATCAAGCAGGAGGTGGGTACACTGGTTTTTAAACAATGCTCAGTTGGTACTTAAGGGTTCCAGAGTCACCCAAGAGAATTTTCTCCACACCATTATACCAGCAGCAGCCTGATCCACTTTTACAAGGCAGGATGGATCCATGGATTCACTCTGACCCTACCTTCCAAATGTTATAGCACAAGTCGAGACTCGAAGCTCGGGGCAGTCCATTCTCCCAGAGAACAACCACACGCTAGATTTTTTCCTCTTTTGCAGCCCTTTCACTATAAACCTAGAGATGACTGTGTGGGAAAATCACAGGAGATCTGCAGTTTCTGAAATACTCAAACCAATTTGAAGTGGTGTGTCTAATGTAGTGGCCTGTGAGTGTATATTATATGGTCAGTTTCATCTTCACATTCAGTAAAAATCACATCAAACACAATCTTATCCTTTACCTTGAAATTCAGAAAAAATATGCTATATATTAATGTAATAAAAGTTAGAAAACTCAAAATATTAACTTTCTATTTTGTTTTTCTGTTTTGTTTAATGAGTAAAGGAACCATTACAGTGGCATTTGCTTGGTCTACAGTCCAATGTTAAGTTAACTGTGAGGTTTATACCTAACATTATCACCATTTCCAGTTTGGGACAAGTTGTTGCATGACACAAGGAAGGCTGTGACACGTTCTAGTATAAAGAAGCACAAAAGCACTGCTACCAAACCAAACACGTTTCTTTTTTTGTAATATTTTGAAGAAAGACAGATGATTAGAAATTCCAAAAGAAGACAGTGGTGGTACACCACCTCCTGCTTCTCTGTCCTTTCTTAAACAACTGCTTAAAACCTTTAGGTGTCTGAGATGCAACAGCTGGGCCTTTGATACTTGCACTTACAAGTCATAGTAATCCTTAGGGAACTGTAAGGAGTAGGAATGCAGTAGTCAGATGTTTATTGTCAGCTAAAATAACACAAGTTAAAATACAATTAATTTCTTTTTAGAAACATAAATTATAAAAAAAAAACCCAATGACCATTCCTTTTCTTTCTTCATTACTAGATATCAGTCATTTTTTAACAGTAAAAGCAAAAAAAAGTCTTTTTTTTGTAGCTGCAGGTGGCTACCTGTCACTCCCATCAACACAACAGCTATTGAAACAACTTTGTTCTTTTCACATTCGCTTTTTCGTTTTTCTGCCTTTCTCATAAGTAAGTAAAATTTATTTATATAGCACATTCCATAATTTCACAGATAAAAATCACAAAGTGCTTTACAATAAGATCAGACATACAAGTTAAAATTAATTAAAAGCCCGTTTGTATAAAAATGTCTTCAGCTGCTGCTCATACAACTAATTAAAGCTGTGAGCAAGAAAAAGCACAATGACAAGCCTCTTATGGACACGTATTATGTTAGTTTAACCTGTTCCTGAGATAATGATGTGGTTTTGTATATACTGGGGATACTCACAGTATTTGCCCCTGTGAGTGCTATGGAAAGAGTGACATAATATTTAACCAGCTATACTACAGTCCCCTGATATTAATCTACATGAAACCCCCTGATACATTTGTCAGCATTATATACTGGGCACTATATTAACTCCCTGATATAATCTCTACAGTGTATGTTCGTGTCTGCACTGACGATGGCTTAGACGGTCGGATTGATCCAAGCCCGGGTATTTTACTGTGACAACCCATTAACGCTGCAGCGTATTTATAATGTTTCATTTAGGCATATCGCCCTTCTCATCAAATATTCATCTGAGGGGAGATTGCCTACTTTGTCTTGGCTGAACTCCCCCCTCCCTCTGTCAACCCTATTTCTTTATTTGTGTGTTCTTGTATCTGCAGAAAACACAAGATCAACTCAGACTGAGTTGTGGAGATACATGTGAGCAGGCGCACAACTCCTTACGTCATGCGGCACCACTTTTTTGTCCTTTTCTCTGGAAGCTTGTACTTGTTGCCGGATTGTCCTGCATACTTTTACTGTATCTGCATGCATGTGTGTGTGTGTGTGTTGCTTGCCACCTGCAACATTGCTCTGCACTGTGCATAACTCCAGGCATCAATCAGAGCTCATTATTGGTTATCTGTCGGCTCCACTTTCCAGCCTGCAGAGGTGCTAAATGTCTCTGTAAACCCCTGTGGGAGATAAACACCATCAATACTGCGAGATTTAACAGTCCCCAGGCGCATAATATATTCAAATACCTCTCCACTGTGTTACCTCCGTCTTCTCCTATTTCTCTTTCATGTCTGTGTTCCTTCTGTTGCTTCAGCCTCCTCTTCAGATGCGCCACCATCCCTCTGTTTGATATTTTTTGCTTCACCAGACCTCTCTTTGTGTCCTACCTTTGCCTTGCGCTTTCCTCTTTTTGCAGCAGCTGATAGATATTTTCTCCCCTCCCCATCAGTCTTCTGATTGGGGACACAATAATCCCTCTCTCGCTGGCTGGTCTTTAAAGAAGCTCTACTACACCATTTATCCCCAACAAGGATTATTTCAGCTTTTCCTGGAAAAGGTATTCTCACTTACATCACTCTCTGTATGAGAGAATTCAAAGGCAAAAGTCCATTTGCTAATCATGAAAAGTGCTGCTTTTCATGTGGAAACGACTATAAAGCTGTAAAGCTCCCAATCTAGTTTTATTATGAGCCCAAAAACTTCGAGTTATGTGGCACCGGGTCTTGAATATTTCTTATTTTTAGGCTGAAGAAGAGAAAAATCTGAAAACAAGAAATTTGCAAAAAAAAAAAAAAAAAAGTCCTTGGATGTTACTATTATCAGGTAAAGAGTTTCCGTTTGTCCAATATTCTGGTTTACTTTGGTTCTGTTTAGTGCAAGTTCTTCTACGCTGGTGAGATGGGAACCATAAAAATATTATACCCGCTGAAAATCAGTACATTTGTCTACATGTTTTGAGTCAAATATTTTTTGATAAACCTCAAAATTCAAATTTGCCATGTGGGGAACTGAGAAAAGTTTGGTTTGAGAAACACTAGTTGCTGCATGTAATTCCAGTTGTATGTGCATATTGCTCAAATAGGCTTCAGTACTGTTTATATAGGTGGCCAGAGGTTCATCCACCTCTTTGTTCCACCTCTGATATTCAGCTCAAAGCACAGCTGTAAAAGCTATACCCTCACAGAGATGCAACTTTATGAAAGAGTGCCTCTACAGTCTACAAAAAGCAGCTATAGCATGGTGTCTCCATGGTGCGCATTCATGGAGATAATATTCAAATATTTTTTCTACCTTGAAAAAATACGAGTGAGTCATTCTTTTACTCTGCTGAGCCAACCCAAGGACGTGAAGCTGACAGGATATTGATCCGCAAGTATTAGGATGCCGAGCGGCTCAAGTCCAAGGTGAGACCATCCATCAGAGAGCCAGGCATAGATTAGTAGGTACACACTCCCACATCCCTCTGCTGTGCCACTCCCTCTTTTGCTTCATCACTCCTCCCAGCTTTGATGGTTTACCTCTCTCTCTCTCTGTTCGCGTCTTTGCAAGGACACCTGTACACGCTCCAGCTGGCAGGCGGACTTTGGATGTTTGGCAGAAAATTAAAGTCAGCAGTACATTTGAACCTCAGACCCACTGAAGTGCTTCAAACTGTGGACGCTGCGCTGTTGATAAGCGCGAAGAAGAGAGAGTTGTAGTTGGGAGTGCAGGGAGCAGACAGACGAGCTTTGCGCGGACTTTTGCGTCTCCGTCTTTCATTTATTTGCAGCCCACACTGACTGATGCTCATAGAAAAGTGACATGCAATCGGGAGTGAATGCGCTGAAGTCGTAGATAAACTGCGGCTCGCACAGATCCTGCAGGTTCAGCTTGGTGATCCGAAAAGAACTGAGAGGGAGGGAAGCATGAAATCCACGAGTCAGGATCAGAGTTTGTCAGACTCCAGAGAGCTGGACAGATCTTACGACCCACTCACAGGTAGGCGTGTCGTCATGTCACTCTTGCCTTTCTTTGTTTTTAATAGTATTTTTTAATGATTTGGCGCTGGCCTGGCTCAAATCTCCACTAAGAAGTGCGCCTTCACTGCGGCGATGAAAGTTTTGGTTTGACGGAAGACTTTGGCTCATTGATATTCGACTGTGGGACTTTTGACAAACCACAATCAAACAATTAGTGAGTGTCTGTGCACGTGAACTCCCTGCTCTACAGCTCCCCCAAACAGCAGCATGATCTGATTAATTATTCAGAGTCTGATCTCACAGGTATTTTCCTTTGAAATGAACTTTACACCATCTCCCCACTTTTTGATAATAAGAATGTGAACTAATAGATCTAAAAATGTCAGGTCGCCATCATATGTTGATTATTTTTTTAGTTGGAACTATAATACTACTACTACTACTACTAATAATAATAATAAAGATAAATAATGTTCCATATTAATGGCTCAGCAAGAAGAAAATGTGTTACAATGTAAATAATAAATGGAGTTAAGGTAAAGAAGTTAGTGTTTGATTTACAACTAATTGACTGTATGTGAAATAAAAGATGGGTAAATAATAGCAATAGTGGTATTATTTGAGCCATTAGCTATAAATTTAACTGAAAGCAGTCCCCTCTGTGGCCCCGTGCTACTGATCAATTAATAATTTAACTAATGGACAGAAAATTAATCAGAAATTATTATTAATCACTGTAGAAATTTGGCAACAGCCACACGCCTATCTTTAGGTTTTCAGCTGTGTTTCTTTTCTTCTTGTTTTCAGTTTTCTAAACAAGCAGTCAGAAGACATCACCATCATGCCGGTCTGCTTTTATCTGGGCACTTTCCCCACCTTACTATTAAATAATTGACATAATGGTTCAATGACTTTGTTCCTTAAACATCAGTGCCATTAATTGGTTACAGCATAGCAACACGATTCTTCTCAGACTAGCTGAAGGAGTGAAAAATGAACAAACACATTAATTTGAAAAGAAAAAAGAAAACAAAGATTTGTTTATATGAACAAAGTAATGCTAATGAGTAGTTAGGATGATAAAAATCTCAATGTGGATTTACTGTAGTTTAGATAATCACACTGGTCGTAGGCCTTGAAGGTGAAAAGCAAGAGAACAGAAAAATATTGCAAAACAGGCTCTCGTCACCTAAAATTACATCTAGCAGTGTGAGTGTTCGTAGCCTAATTAGATCAGTGAGGCTCTTCTCTCTTTCAGACATTTCACTGGTTTATTTTTCTCACAAGTGCTTGCAAACACAATCCTCTTTAGAGATCACACGCGCAGGTCTCTCTTTGCTTTGGCAGGCTGGCCTGTCATTTTTCTGACAGCTTCCCTAAATAGTCCTTTCCTTTAAAAATAACCACATAAATGTGTAAAAATAACCCCTTTAATATGGTGCACATAGCAGCACCATTTAGTTTTTTATATGATGTTTCTAAAGTACTGTATGAGATAGATGTTATACAGATGACAGTTTATTTCATAGCTGATAGTAGCTGTCTCAATAGCAGGTGTGATATGCACTCAGCAGCAGGTTAAACAAACAGAGAACAGGTGCATGAGGTTTTAAGAGGTGTTTAGAAGACACAAACAAAGTGTTTTATTAAACAGTGAAGCAGAGCCCGAAGCCTCTTCCTTTCATCTCCATGGTTTTTGTCTAACAGCAACATATGCTTATGGAAAATTATATTAAAGTGTATTTGAAATATTCATCAGATAAAATTCACACTGAACACTACATGGTCTTTATGTCCAACCGTTCTTCTGTAAAGCTGCTGAAATCCTCATGTTGTTTACTTCTTGGTTCATGCATTATAGATACACATTCCTTTGTGCACTACACTTATTACAATAGTACAGGCTGCCTGCTTCTGTGGGACAGTTAAACCATGATGTCACAGAAAAACACCGTTAAAAAGGCATTGGTTGATGGTTTGGGAAATCTGCTTAGATTGCATATGAAATTCTTGGAAGCAGCTTGCTATGATGGGCTTGCGACTTGTCCTCTGTGCACCCGATCTCTCATCCAAAGTCAGCTGAAATAGGCTCCAGTGCCCCCATGACCCTGGATTGAATAAGCTGTTAAGAAAATGGATGGATTTATCAGAATTCAGTTCAAAAAGTGGACCCAAATGCAGACCAGTAATGAAACAAAAGATGAGCTTTATTCAAAGGCTCAAACACAGACACCACAAACCTGGAAAAACCATGAGAAGGCAAAAAGGTGGCACGAATCACAATTCCACAAAAGCTGCTAGAAAGACTGGGATATTCATACAAACTCATCCCATACAGAAGGAAACCAAAGGTTCAAAATATGACCAAGAATCAGGATCACTGTGGAATTTAAAGAAATTAAGGCAGAAATCATGCACTACATAAATACCAAACATTAACTGGAACTAAAATACAAAGCTAATCCTAAAGATTGTAATAAATATAGAATAGAAGGAACACAAGGAACTAAACTCACCTAGAAGATCATGAAATAAAGAGAACTCGAGACTTTACTAGATTAGAAACAAATCCACTCTGTGACTGATTGATGGATGGATGGACTTGGTACCTCAACATAAAAACTGTGAACATTTAGCCCTTTGTCCAAAGTTAAGATAATCAGTGTTAAAGCTCACTGATGAACACATAATGTGCTTGATTAATACATTCAAACCCAAAAGGCCAGGAGCAGTTTTCACAACTTTCTACATGTTTATTAATTAAATTCGTAGGTTTTGGTAGGAAGATGTCATGTTTCAAGCTTAACCTTAGTCATAATTTGGGACTAATATTTTCGTGAGTGTTGTAATTACAGACTGGCTATAAAGATGTACCGAAATATGAAACATTCATAGTATGTCCACCATGTAATCATATCCAATTTTATAGCCTCAAAGAACTAATTTTAATAAACTCCTCAGCCTACACTATCATGATAAAAATATCTGAAATGACAGAAATAATCCTTGGGAAACATTTGTCTGAGCTGCACTTTAAGGTTTTAGTTTTACCCACATCCCATCCACTAACATGGAGCTGATGGGGTTTCTGACCTACACTTTAGTCAGCCACCAAGGAGTGATTGAAAGGTTTATCTTCACTAAAAGATGAAAACAGCTTCTTGGTCTGAAAAGTATAGGCATTATAAAAGGGCCCTAAACCTGCATTATTTGGCCAGAAGTGGCTGAGTCCTTTGGTTGAACACTGATGTTTTCTTATATAAAGGTTTATGGGAAAATTACCTTTTGGCTCCCTTATACTGTGATCTCCGTGACTGTTTTACTGATGGGTTTATGGATTCAGTCACCAGCTCAGTCTTATTGAATACAGCATAATATTTATTTTTAAAATTATGATCCTCACTAAAAACACAAAAGAGGAAAAAGGCTGTTTATGTCTTTTATATACAGCTTATGGTCGTGTGACAGAATAATTTCCTCAAGTGAACAAACATGCTTGTGATATGTATGTTTGTGTGCTTGAATGAGAAAAGTGGCATCATTTTCAGACATTTTTTATACAATACTCAAGGATCAAAATATCACCTGAAGCCATCTATAATATACAACACTTACACATTTCAAAATAAAAGCCTGTCATGAGATAAAGCTATTGATATGATCACTGCAGAGCTCATGCTGTCAGCCCCGAGTGAGCAAACTATGTAAGTATGTTTGCGTGTGTCAGTGCTTTTTCATGAAATGGACATCTATAATCTGAACTGCGTCCTTCTGGGGGATTATTGTAAGTATAGGAGCTGTTGCTCCTGGCAACATTAGCTTACAAATGTTCATTTAGTGCATAGACTGTCATGGCCTCCTAAAGTCAGCATGAAATGCTTACAGTTAAATGACACACAGTTGTTGGTTTAACTCACCTTTTGCCAATTATTATTATTTTTACTTTAGAGATTAATTAAGCTTTTATAATGAACTGTAAAAGATTTTTAAGAATCGGTGAAAGATATACTGATGCTTAGGTCACAGGTTGTGTATTGTCTCTCAGGGTTTGTCCCCCCCATGAAATAATAATAGAAAATACATTTTTTTATAAGTAAAATCATCAGAATCTCCTTTTGAAGATTTAAGTCTTTCACTTCATGATTAAATTGAACTCCAAAGTCAATATTTTCAACCACTTCAATGTTTTTTGTCATCTCCCTGATCCAGCTCATCAAAAGCCTAATCGTCAGGCCCATCAAAAGCTTTAAAATCTGCTCAAGGTTTCTGAGAAAGTTATTGACCTTTTATGAGTAAAACTTGCCGAGAAATATCTTCAGCTTGGCCTTCAGAAACTTTTAATTTCGTTCTTTCAGTGAATCTTACTTTCCCCCCTGTGTGCTTTTTGAAACAGTGGATGAAAGAGGCTTTAAATAGTTACAATGATGGCTCAAAGAGGCTGTAAATGTAGTTATACCAAAGGGTGAAAGAGGCTGTAAAGATAGTTATAACGATGGGAAAGCGAACATTGATCTACCCCAGAGGACTGCATTTATTCAAATTGATTTACGTGATCAAAGTCACCCATGAGGGTCTCTTGAACTGACAAATAGCTGCTGGGTACTGTGAAATGTCAACATCGGCTGAAATAGCTGTTCAGTTTTGTTCATCCATAACTCCAGCTACCCCCTGCAGATATACGGTGCTCATTTGCAACACGTATGGGACAGGTAAACAGTTGCTTAATAATTAATCAGGTATGCTTTGTTGCTTTTGCTCATCTTCCAACTGTGTGAACGAATCAAATCATGACACGTCCCGCTAATGTTTATGAACCTGTGAACTCACAAAAGCAGCATAAAGCGTGTTTCAGCTCATTTAGTAGCTGTTTTTTATGCAAGAACAACCTCCAGTGTTGTTTGTGTGTAAAACAGTCACATCAAACAGATTCCCTCAGATGGGTTTTTAATAACTTAGGAAGTATTCGTGGCCTGAAATGCCCTGAAAAAAGGAGCCTTTCTGTTCATTTTACAGTTTATTTTTTTATGCTTTTTTAAAAGTCATTTATAATTTTGCCACATTCAATCACAAATCTGAGGTGTTTTTCATGCAGCGCGAGTGTGTGTGTGTGTGCATTTGTGTGAAAGGCTGTATAAAGCTTTGTTTGTTTTTCCATGGTCATGCAGCTGCTGTATTTGATAGTTTGATTGATATATCCTCAGCATCCACTGTCACTGATGTTCATGATAAGTGCACTGAACAGTTACTGCCACCCTGGGAGCTACAGTAATTGCTTAAAGAAGACAAAAGCTTGCTTCTACAGGCAAAAAAGGAAAAGAGTTTCACTGTGCATTTTAATACTTTGGATGTATTACTGCAATTTACACCTTGCTTGTTTTGCACGTGCAAAGGGTCTTATATTTCACATTTGCAGCATCCGCTAACAGCGACTGATGTTTGTGGGTTCATAGGTTTCTCTTTATTGTGAATAAAAAGTTTACAGGTTAAACAGTTTTATTTGTTGTTCCATCATCATGATCATCATCATCATTATTTAAACACCTTATTTTTTAATTTCCTCTGCAGTTTCCAGTGTATGGATCAATAGGACTGTGTGTATGTCTGCAGTTCTTTTTGTGTCTGATCTCAAGCCATTCACTGCTGCTGCTGCTGACTGCACACGTTTGTTCACCCTTTATCTGACTTGGAGGCCCTTCACAATCTTAAACGCACCACTGCCCTCTGGTGGCAGAAAAAACCTTTATCTCTGGCGACTACAGAACTACTTTAATTTTTAGACCTTTAATCATCCCGTTTTTAGCACAACCTATAATAAATCTAAGCGCTTCCAAGAATGTTTTAAAAATTTCTTTAATGTTATATTTAACCAGTAATATGAATGTCTGTTTTCATGGTACCACAGCCTTACCACTATGTTAGTAAACTAGTTAACAAGTAGAGGACGCTTTCCTTCATTAGCGTCACTTTCTTCTGCTTCAGTTATTTCTAAGATTGTTTTCTTTCTTTATGTTTCTGTCTACTTCTTTCTTATTTCACCGTCTTTGCAGGGTTTCATAGCTTTTTTAATATTTTTTTTTTATCATAGTATATTTGCATATTTTAAATGTTTTAATGGTTTTATTTGACTTTGTTTTATTTTGTCTTGATGTTTATAAGTCTGTAAAACTTTACATGTGATATTGTATTACACAAAATAGACTTGGTTTGTCTGAGAAAACTCTAAGACAAAAGTTAAAGTTCAGAAAGTCGTTGCTGGAAAAAAAGATAAGAGAAGAAAGCAGAAAAAAGCAGCAAGCAGAGCAAAGGAAGTAAATGTCAGAATAGATTCTGCTTGTCCTTGGCTTATTTTGGGTTAATATAATATTTCTGTGTCTGGCTTTGGAAAAGAGGCTAAAATCTACTAAACAAGCTTAACACAATCAAGATTCTTTAACAATTCAATTCAGTTGTATTCATATAACACCAAATTACAGCATTAGTAATTAACCAATTAACTTTATATTGCAAAGTCATATCGCTACAAAATTATAGAGTTTATAGAAATTGCTAACAGTGGATTTGTTTAGCAAGAAGATGTCTTCAGCAGATCCGGTCTCGAGGGCGTGTGGTGCAAGAGCAGCTAGGGAAGAGGAGCATGGCACAGTGAAAAACAGACATGAAAACAATAAATGCAGGTTCAATAAGAGAGAGAAGGGGCAAAGCGAACAACAAATAAACTAGAGGAGAGAGAAGAAACAAAGTTAATGACGTGCAAAAGTGCCATCTAAATGCATTAGAAGTAAGAAGAGGGGAACTGAGCGGTGCATTATGGCCGGTCCCTAAACTGCCTGGGCCTTTAGCAAGATGACTAAGGGATGGTTCAGAGTCAGTTAGTCATACAAGTTTGAATTCTGTCAGATGAATAATTGAACGCAAACATGCGACTTAATTAATAATTGAGAAGTCCTGATATGTTTTCTTCTTCTTCTTCTGGCTGCTCCCTTTAGGGGTTGCCACAGCAGATCATCTACCTTCATGTGACCTTCCCTAGTTTCCTCTTTCATCACTACATCCATGAATCTTCTCTGTAGTCCTCCTCATTTCCTCCGCCCTGGAAGCTCTGCCTTCATTGTTCTTTGTCCAGTTTTTCCACTATATCTCTTCTACAGATGTCCAAATTATCTCAGCCTCGTCTCCCTAACTTTGTCTCCATATCGCTCGACCTGATCTTTCCTTCTGATACATTAATTTCTAATCACGTCCATTTCAGTCACACCCAAAGAAAACCTTAGCATCTTAAGTTCTGCCAGCTGTGTTATTGTTAGTGTTACTGTCTCAGCAAACATCATAGCAGATCTTGTAAAGTTTCCCTTCACTCTTGCCGTTCTGTTAAAAAAAACCCCGACACCCATCTCTACCCACTCCACCCTGCCTACACTCTCTTCTTCACCTCAATTTTGTGCTGTCTGTTGATTTTCAATGGTTTATTTAAGGTCATCCACATTCCTCTGCTCTCCAGCGCATACTTCCACATCTCAAGTCTCTTTTCAACCTGCTCTCTACTCTCACTACAGATCCCAATGCCATCTTCGAACAGAGACTCCTGCTGTTTGCCTGTCCATCACCATTACAAACAAGAGGGTGGCTCATAGCTGAACCCTGATATAATCCCAATCCTGTCATTCCTACTGTGACCCCACCACTGTCTCGCTGTGCTCTTACATGGAGTACCTCGTGCAGTAGCACAGTTCCTCTCTTAGCACCCTGTTGTGTGATTTCTGTAGTTCTGATATCTTTGACTTCACCCGGCATTATTTTAGGTCCACCGGTACAGGAACATCACACTTTGGGTAAATGCGTCTAAATTAATGCTACAGCTTTTTAATGAGTTAGTCAAAAATATGGAGGTTTTAAAAGATAATGAAGAAGATAGCTTTTTGAAACCATAAAGAATTTGGTTGTTCTCTGAGTTTTCACCTAGCAGCACCATCACAATTTGAATTTGCCCAAGATTTCTATTGGCTATTTTGTTTTAGTAACAATTAACAAAAGTTAGCATTTTAACATGTTAAACTGAAACAGTAAACATGCCAAACATTATGGCAGCATTGCCGTTCAGTTTTTAGGGTTGCGGTGGCAGGATGGGTTATCTACAGTTTGAAGGTTGGTGGTTTGATCCCCGGTTGCTCCAGTCTGTACGCCAAAGTACCCTTGAGCAAGATACTGAACCCTGAGTTGTTCCTGATGCATCCATCAGTGTGTGAACAACATTAGATAGAAAGCACTTACACAAAGGAAAAAGGTGCTTGTATGAATCTGTGTGTGAATGTTATGTTGTATAAAGCATTTTGAGTGCTCAGGTAGAAAAGTGCTATATTATTTAAATGCTTACCACACTGTCAGCAATGCTTGCAGCGCTGTGTTAGTATTACAGATAATCCGTTGCTGTGTTTGCTGACTCCAAAAACCAGTTAATTTATATTTAAAGAGACCTTATAGTTAAATAAATAATGACACAAACTTCTTTTCATATCTAAAGAGAAATTCGATTGAATAATGTTAAAAATTTAGGAATCTGTCAGCTGATTTCTGTATCTTAGAGGAGCTCGGACTCTGCTGGGTCCTGTCCCAACAGATGTAATGGGTCACACAGATTCAAAGCCAGGTCAGCAAACTTATTTCTATGCAAGACAAGTGATTCCAAGTATTTGAGTCTAGTTTGCCCAGTGTTTTATCCATTTAGCATGGCGCTGACTTTGTGGGCCACTGAGTCTGCTTCTAATCTCTGGTCTGATCTGGTTCTTTCCAGGTAATCCTCCATCCAAACCCAATAAAAAGACCTTAAAGCAGCGCTTCCTCAAACTGCTGCCCTGCTGTCGTTCTGGCTCCAGCTCTTCAGTTGATCAAAGCAAGTGTTAGGACACGCACTTTGTCACACCACATCAATTAAATTAAACACAAACAAAGCATTGATTTTTACTCTTTTAGTCTCTTTGCCTTTTCCTCTCTAAAGTTTCCGTCATTTCAGGGACGCTCAAAGAGAAACTGTTTCCTTTCTGTCTTCATTCCTCCGATGCAGGGAGCATAGTTGAAGATGGTGAACTATCGACAGTGTGTTACAGACCTGAGGGCCTTGACCGTCTTGTACAGCAGACCAAATTCAGCAAAAAAGAGCTGCAGGTCCTCTACCGGGGATTCAAAAATGTCAGTCAACGTTTCCTGGAAATCATTGATCATTCCTCTTGCAATGAATGCGCAATACTTGAAAACCATCAATTATGATGTGGCTCTACTGTGCTATTTATGTGCATTGGAAAGTATGTGTGAAGGGTTTTTTTGGTCCACATAATAATTTTATGATTTCCACAGGAGTGTCCGAGTGGTGTGGTGAATGAGGAGACTTTTAAAAGCATCTACTCCCAGTTCTTCCCTCAGGGAGGTCAGTCACACTCACTTCCTTTTATCCCATGTTTTACATTTTATTCAATTTTTTTCTAAGGAGCTAGGTAGGAGGAAATGTTCTGTCTCATGTGTCTTCAATGTGTTCACTGAGGATTGAACTGGTTAGGTGCGTTCAATTCAAATATGTATTTAAATTATAATACTTTCAGCTTTGCTTTACTATGATAGTGACAAATAACATACACATTTGTGGTTATAAACACTTCTTTCATCTTTAAAAGCAGGGTCAAATTATACACAATACTGTGCAAAAGTCTTGAACCACCTCTCATATTTTGCTTCCAAGGCACCAGATTATTAATGTTTTTTTTAAGCGGTCTTTTGTCACGGTCTGCAATGGGAGACCATGGGGATGAGGGGGAGGGAGGACCCAAACGCAGGACTCTTGTGCGATGAATGTAGTGCGTTTATTTACAGTGATGTAAATATTACATAATAAATCCCCGTGCGCTCCCCTGACTCCCGTGCCATGTCTTCTTCCCAAAAACCGTGCTCGGTGTTCTCCGCTCCCATGTGTCCGCACAACCCGTCCTCACTGCCCTCTTGTTTTCCACGCTCCTCCTGGGGGGAAATAACAGAGGCAGCCGTCAGGACACTTAACTACAGCACTACAACTTTAATACACTCACTAAACTTGGGTCACTAGGAAAATTGACATGGAGTTTCACGCAACAGAGCGCAATCACACTCTTAAATAGCTCCCCCGACGAGGCTGATCAGCTGCAGGTGCGTGGCATGATCTTCAAGTGTGGCCAGCCACCTGGCAGGGCCACACCCACCAGACCTGAAAGTGCCTGTCACCTGGCCTATCGGACCAGCCGCACCCACACACACCGGCCTCTATACATACAAGCATGGAAGCACAGGAACAGCAGCACAGTGCAGCAAAAACACATATAATGAGTCCACACTGCTCATGGACCCTGGGCCCCTCAGATCCAGGTCCCTGACAGTCTTCAGCAATAGTTCTCCAGGTTTTTTGAAGGTCTTTCAAAGCTTTTCTTTGGGCATTAGCTGCTTTTTTATTCCTTTTCAGTCCTGAGCATTTACAGAGGAAAGCTACTTAACATTGACCTATGAACAATTTTTTGTTAAAACCATGAAGGATGGCTGACTGGAAATGACTGGTTTAAAAAAATCTACAGCACATGAACACTTTCTGAAAATCATGCAAAGACCTGAAACAGGACCTGAGAGATGCATCTGGCCCTTCTGCTGATCGTTATACTGTTCAAAGCTTCATCAGAAAGGGTGCATGTGAAGAAGCCATTCTTGAGGAAGTGATACAGGGAAAAAAGGCTGAGGTAGTCCAAATTACACAAGAACTGGACTAAAATGTGAAAATTTGGGTTCAGAATGTAGTAAGTATGTACAGAAGAGGACAGGAGAGAGGTACAACAGTGACTGTCTAAAGCTCTCTGTAAAACACTGGAGGCTCTGTCATAGTTTGGGGCTGCATTTCAGTCAGTGTCATTGAGGATCTTGTCAAAATTTATGGAATTATGAATTATTTTGATCCATCATCTGGAAAGCATCTGCTTGGCAACGGCTTCATTCTTCACAATGACAATGATCCCAAACACACCGCCAGTGCTGTGAAAGCTTACCTGAATAGAAAAACAGACAATGGAACACAATCAGTCATTGATTGACCTCCCCAGAGCACGGACCACGGCATTGCTGAAGAAGTGTGGGATCGTCATGACAGAGAACAGAACAAAAGGCAGCCAACGTCCACAGAAGAGCTTTGAAAGTCCTTCACAAAGCCTGGGGAACTATTTCTGAAGACTAATGCAATTACAGGAAAGCTTGCCTGGGAGAGTTCAGACTGTGTTGAAGGTCATACAAAATACTGACTTTCCGTTAGAATTGCACAAACTCTGTTTTTGTCTCATACACTGTACTTCCAGGTATGTTTCAAATCAAATCAAATCAAATCATTTTTATTGTCACATCACATGTGCAGGTACATTGGTACAGCGCATGTGAGTGAAATTCTTGTGTGCGAGCTTCACAAGCAACAGAGTTGTGCAAAATACAATAATGTAAACAATCAAAATACAAGAATGGCTACATCTGAAACTAATAAATATATGTACAATATATATAATAGTATATGTTTGCACATGTTTTTAAAAAACTTGCTACATCTATTTCCCATTTTCCCAGCCAAATATATACGATGGGTGGCTCAAGACTTTTGCATAGTGCTTGTATACTTGTTAAATGTGTTTATCTGGCTTTAACTGAATCTGCAGTCATATATTAAATCATTTTAAAATCAGACTTTTTGTGTATCTGTGCTTGATATAATTTGTGCATAGATAAAATGCATTTGCATGTTTTTGCATGTTTACAAAGTGCGATAAACATCCCACAACTGAGCAGCACAGTTCAAAACACTATTACCTCTTAACTGATGCACATTTAATTACCTGTCCACATCTTTAATGTCTCTAATATTTTTCTGTTTCTGTCAGTTTAGGCTGTCATTACACAAAATCATTGACGTGACTGCTGCACAGTTACAGTAACTTGCTTTCTTATATTCTCTTTTGCAGATTCAAGTATGTATGCGCATTTCTTGTTTGAAGCCTTTGACACACAGAACAATGGCTCGGTCAACTTTGAGGTGAGATACACACCTCAAAGCCTCCTTTCATTCCCTGCAGCTCACAGAGATGTTTTCCCTTTTCCTTTTTCATCTTCTTTACTGTCCTTTTCTTTATCTATGCTGTGTAGTTTGATTATACTTTTTCTTAGTGTTTGGAAGAAAGCAGCATAAAGCTTTGTTCTTGGTGCACATCTTGTATAAATCTCATTACTTTTTAAAATGATTTCACTCTGTTGGTGAAACTCTGTGGGTGTCAGTAACACAGGGTTGGAACTGAAAAAACATAAAACATAGTATCAATGCAGCAAATACTGCAAAGTTTTGTCTGTGCCTTTTTCGTCTTTATTGTGGTCTTCACTTTTAGTGCCTGTTTTCTTTCCCTGCTGTAGGACTTTGTTATAAGTCTGTCCATCATCCTGAGAGGCTCCATCACTGATAAACTCAACTGGGCCTTTAATCTGTATGATATCAACAAGGACGGCTGCATCACCAGAGAGGTAAACCAACCAATCACTGCCAGTTTTTTTTTCTTTTTATTACATTGGCAGCTCGTGTCTTTTTCATATTTATTTTCCTTCTGTCTGTTCTTCCAGGAGATGACAGAAATAATGCACTCCATCTATGACATGATGGGGAAGTATACATACCCCCACATGAAAGATAATGCCCCGAAAGAGCATGTTGACAGCTTCTTTCAGGTAAAAACTCACAAATAATCAGATCACACATCACACATCTCCAACACTGAACTCAAAGTGAGTCAGAATGTACTGAAAGTGATGGGTAAAGCATTTACTTTATCTACTGCGTCACTGTTGTGCCCATTAGTGTAAATGTGGAGCTGTGGGTTCAACAGCCAACTTCGTCAGAGAGTGGATATCTACGAATTTGAATATTTTGCTTTTGCTCTGCTTCATACACACAAAAATAACCCAACTTAAAGACATGTTTTATTTCTAAATTGGGCTTTTAAATGATGAATAATCGTCCAAAAGGCAAAAAATTTGACGCTAAACAGTGTAGCTCAGAAAACAGATCCCTGTGGAACAACACATCTCGAGGCAGCCGTTTCTGGGTTTAAACCGATGATAGTAACAAAAAAACTTTTGTCTATGAAGCAGCATTTACCCAGTCTAATGCTGATCCAGACACACCCACTGCCTGATGAGACTTATTTAATAAGACTGTGTGATCCACATTTTCAAAAGCTTAACTCAGATCTAATAAAACCAGAACTATTTTCAATAGATTGCTGTAAATCTTACCAAGTTACAGCCCACTCTCGATTACTGGGAAGCATGGTGTCACCTGCCTGCATGTGAGTAATGGCAGGTGAATGCGTATCTTCATGCCTGTGCACAACATAAATAAGCAGGAATCCACCTTTCCAGCAATTTGGTAGTGGTGATTAAACTAGAACATGTTCCATGGACTTCCACTGAAAATGGGCGGTTGGCAGTGCCAGAAAGCTGCAAAAAAAACCAACAAAAAACCCTGACGTCAATGATTATGGGAGGACCTGCTGAAAGGAATTCATTGATGATCCATAGTGGCAGCCCCAGCTTCCATTACTGTTTCTGAGTCCCTTTGAAATGTGGACTGGTTTTTCAAAGGCAACGAGGTAGAATGGACTTCACACCAACTGAGAAAGCCTGAGCTATGATGTTTGGGCTACTTAAGCTACCCCCTAGAGTTACTATAGAACATAGATTTTTTTAGGCCAATCCCTGTTTTTTGTGTCATCTGGTAAAATAATTTTTGTCCTGCAAGACTGGAGCATTTCCAGAAATGTCTAGTTGGCTCACAAACACAAATGTAAACAATGCAGGTTTTAAAGGATTTTGCAAATATGGGAAAGAACTTTTAGCACCTGGTAAAACTAAACTTGGAGAATGAGGTCAATACATTTTAAACTTTCCTATTTGTGTTTGCCATATTGCTATATTTATTCGGTTAAATATAGGGTCATGATAGACCGCAACAAGGTTGGCTGTTATTAATTATTTCACAGAACTTTCCATTATTTTTTTCAGCACAAATGGGTCAGAGCCTGTAAAAACTGTGAAAAGTTGTAAGAGAGGTAGATTTTATAATTACAAATGTCACATCTGCACATCCCCTCATTTATGACTGGGGTCATGAATGAAGTCATTTAGTTACTTAAAAGTTAAATCATCATTTGTAACTTGTTGCATTTTTCCAGAAAATGGACAAGAACAACGATGGAGTGGTCACGATGGATGAGTTCCTTGAGACGTGTCAGAAGGTTAATAACAATATCTGTTTCAAACAGCAGTGCAGCTACACATCCACAGCTGCTGAAAATACAGAATTCTTTTTTCTTTTTCAGGATGGGAACATCATGCAGTCCATGCACATGTTTGATAATGTGATCTAAGCATTGGTGGACATAGACAGAAAACAGATTTCCCACCTGTTTGGAGCTCTCGGCTCAAATGCAGCTCATCGCCAGCGTGGATGAATTTTCTGAGCTTCAACAGCGGTCCAAGGTTCAAGTAGCAGTGACCTAAAGATACCGACCCCAAACACACATTTTCTAAAATACTTTTAATGAATAGACTGAGCAGAATGAGTCAAGTGTTGATGCAAAATTACTTGACTTGTGGGAAATGTGAGATTTTATTTTTTATACTACACATACGAATGAAAGCGTTAAAGGTACGCCATGTTGCAGTCAGACGAAAACAAGAAGTGCTAATGAACAGTTTCCTCAAGAAAGCAGCAGATATGCACAAGCAGCTGCGATTTTAAAATTTGATGACGTTCTTTCTAAATTATGACTATTACAATATTTCTCTATTGCATGTGTTTACACACTAAAGTGAGACAGAGGCACCGGATATACAGACGTGGAACAAATGGAATAACTCTTAAATGTTGTAAAGTATCACACACTCTCTCTAATCACTCTTGTCCTATAACAGAGGATAGCTTTAAGTTTGAAATCAAAGCAATAATCTTACATATTATCAGTTCTTATCTGTTCTCTGTGTTCTTATGGAGCTCACCACTCACATTTATTATAATTGTGCATATTGTGTGCATGATGTATCTGTTTTCATTGAATAGTTTAATGAAAGTGTTAATATATTTTCTATATGGGCATAGTAACGATGGTGAGGAGGAAACTAAAAATCACACAGTTGCTATGCAAAAGCAAAAATCATTAAACTACTGAAATATGATTGATGGGTCTGGCTCGGATTACTTGTTTGTTTTTTTTAAAAAGTGCTGAAACAGTGCTTAAGAGGGTGTCACCTGTCCAGATTATGATGTGCATTACATTCATGCAGCAGAATGTAATGAGAGCCGAGCTTTTAAGAAGTTCCTGGCACGACTTCATCTGCAAACGAGGTGCATGGAGCAAGTTCAGCAACACTTCATTTATATTTTATTTGTAATGTGTTTCAACTTGTTGATTTTTTTCAGGGTGATCATAAAAACATATGACAAACAATACGTCCTCTCCACCGATGTTGCAGTCGTTTCTTACTTGAACACCTTCAGCACTAATTTGGCTCCGAGAGGATCTTTAAAGCTTCAGCAGCAGGAAATGTTTCTTTTACCAATAAATTGGAAACACAACTAAATGACTTCTTTTGTAGAGAAATGTCTATTTTCAAACTGAAAGCAGTGTAGCCAATGAAACCATTTTTGCCTTTGAATCAGACTACTAATGACAAGAGTAATAAAGAACTTGCTTAAAAAAAACAACAAAAAGAAAATAGCAGGTGTATAATCAGAAATTGTTCAACTGGGTGTTGCCTAAACAGACGATATAAACCCAGCAGACAACTATTAGATGTACCATGCTCGTACTGGGTTGGACCCAAATGATAAGCGTAAGAAAATGGATGTACAGAAAACAAGAAAAAGCACATTTCTGATTTATAACTCAATAAACATGAACACAAGAACATTTTGAATATATATCCTTTATTTTTATTAAACAAAATTTAAGTAAAAACTCTTAATAAGTAGAAAGACAAATTTCCCTGTCAGTAGTTTTTTTTTCAACCACAGCTGTATTATCTCATGTGTTTACTACGGAGTTGGACAAATCTGTTGCACAAGTATGTAAATGAGGTTTTTTTTTCAGTGGCTACATATGATTTCCTCTCTAAATTCATTTTAAAATCAAAGGCATCTCTTTCCTTATTTTCTGGTAATTGTGCATAATGTGAAACTTTCCCAGTAAATAACTTATAAAAGTTGAAGATGACTCTTGAAAACAAACAAACAAATAAAGCAACCGTACTGATCAACTACAGTCCAAATAAAACGCATCAGATGATTACAGAAGAGAAGGGAGCAGCTGTACAGTGTTAGCTCGAGTATCTCCGCTTCTCCCCATTTGCTCACGTCTACTAAATTTTGTGACACATGAAAGGAGCGTTAACCAGCTCTTCGCTGACTCTTGGGCCACGGTGTGAGAAAACTGACAGTATATAGAGCCAAAACTACAGCAAAGTCAGAAATGTGTCTTACAAAGGCGTTAAGCGGAGTTGGTGAGTTGGTGCACTGTGCACGCTGAGCCACCTCTGGCAGTGTTCAACTATTATTCTCTTTTTCTTTCTTTTCTTAAAAAAAGAAAAAGCTACGATTATCATCACAAAATAAAATATCTTTGGCATAGAATACCCACCCAAAAGCGTAAACAACCACGCACACTCATGCACTCACTCTTAGAAGGTTCTTAAAAAAACAAAACAAACTACAAGCATCAATGTCAAAATTATAATCTGCAAAATTATGCTATAAAACAAAGTTGAGCCCTGTTAAGATTATGAGTCCCATACTCGGCAATAATTGTATATATTACATCAGGTGGCGAGCAGAGGAAAAAGACCTTTCGTGATGACCACGTTCTACTCTTCTGTGTCCCGTTACATCCTAAATCAGCTCTTTGCTGCCTTCTCCTCGTCTGCTTCTTTCCCCTGAAAGAATAAAATTTAAAAAAGTTATTATTTCACAAAAACAAAAAAGTGTTTTTATCTTTTTTCCTTGCTCTGAAATGAGCAGGACTTTATTTGAAAAAGGGTGATAACATTTTGCTGTTAAAGCATTTCAGAGGTATAGGCTGCAGTGCTTTTAAAGTGCATTAGTACACTACATTAAAACCACTGATAAGTGAAGTCAATGGCATTGATCATCTCTTTATAATTTAATGTTCTGCTGGGAAACGCTAGGTCACGGTATTAATGTGGATGACACGCCTCGCAACACCCACAGAAATGGCTTAAGATGTTTACCCAACCGCCAAATTCCCAAGAATCTAATTTTTACTGATAATTTCAGGCTGCACAGAGAAGCCGCCTCACAATTCCCAACATCCAAATCATCCGCTGTCAATGACCCACTGTTAGACACTACAGGACACTCCCACAGGATCTTATACAGTGGATATCACACAAGTGGTTTAAATATTGTGGCTGATCACAATATATAACAAGAAAATAACATTTCAAAAAAGTACAGAGATAAATTCTACACGCTGTAAAAGGCATTTAAGTGTTTCTTCTGTGTTTTTAAGAAACCCCAGAGAACATAAGAATTTGATCTTTTACTTATACAAGTTCAAGATTATGCTTTTGAAGCTTGGACTTTGTGCACACACACAAACAAATGGCATTATTTCTCACACAGTCCCGATCAGCTGAGTCTAAATAAAGTAAGATGACTGGCTGAAGTAACATTAGCATCTACTGACCTTAATAATGGTCAGGTGGGTACTGTTGTCTTTCGTAGGGCAAACTGGCTGCGTATTCGTCATGCATCATAGTTCCATCCATGCTGTCCATGGGCATGTCACCTGGATATCCGTATCCTTGGAAACCAGCATCTAGCTCTGCAAAACAAGATGTGTAATTATTATATTAAGGCACATTTCTGGATTACTGGGATCAAACTGAGGGAGAAAAAAAAAAGATTTATTTTTTTATTTTTTTTACTTAGTTGGATCAGAGTAAGAAACAAAATACCAAAACCATAAAAGGAAAAAAGGCAAGTAAAGGAAAGGATAGGACGAAGATGCAAACATAGATAATGAAGAAACACCACAATGGGGGCGAGAGGAAGACCTTAACTTGATAATAATGAAAAGGAAATGATGTATCAGGAAATCAAACACAGAAACAAACAAACACAATGTTGTTTTCAATGTATTCGTTTTAGATTCTCTTAGATTCTGGTATAATACACCTTGATTGGGGAAAAATTATATAACTAACAAAGCACAGATGGAAAGAATTGATTAAAAAAAGCAACTTTAAAATTAATTTAAGAAGATATAACTGACGGTTCATGCGAATCTCAAATTAAAATTTTTACTTTACATGAAAAATAAGTAGCCATTTGTTTTTTGTGCTGAGCTTTGTGATGAGCTCATTCTTATAGCTGCCAAATAATGAAAGTAGTTTGTAAGCAGCAGCAGGGAGGCAACCTGCTAACAAATTATTGCGTTTTCATGCTGCGGCTGCTCTCCGTGGTGTAGTGACCCACTGCTGAGGAATGTGCTGTATGTGCACATTTCAGCCACAGTTACTCACCATCGGGATAGGGTCCCTCCATGACAGCTGTGTTGTGGGCCTGCAGAGAAGTCACGAGAGGGCAAAGGTCAAATGAAGCCAACACTTTGATATAGAAAGATTTTTAATGCCACAAAAATGCCAAGATGTATTTGACACAGAAACAGCCGACGTGAATAAACAAGTCTACGAGAATCTTCATTAATCTTCAGCTGTCGTGTTGGTGCATCAGAGGGTGCCACACGCACTCACCATCTCCCAGGCAGCGGGATCGTTTTTGAACAGAGAGTGTGTGAGCTCCACAGACACTCGCTTCCTGTAGTCTGAGTTCTTATCCTCGGAGATGCGGAAGAGGACGGCTGCGGCGTAAGTAGCTGGAGGGGAAAGAATAAGAAAACAGTCAGTGGTCGGGGTCAGCGTTAGTTAATAAACTTTGAAAGCTTAATATCTGGAACAGAATGTCCTTTACTTTGAGCTTCAGCACATTGGTGCAAAATAAAATGACCAACAGTGCGATTTAAAGTGGTTGATCTATGATTAAGCGTGGCCCATCTAGAGCTCAACGTTTTAGAGTTTACAAGTATAACAGAGAGCATATAAGACAAAAAAATGCATTTTATTTTTTTGGTGTGAAATCCTTCCTACCTGAAGTCATTCCTGATAAAGAAATGTGCAGCTACATCCTGTTTATTTAAGGCTTATTATACTTCATTTGGTTCATTTGGGCTTTTTCCTCCTTAACAATGTAATTATAGTGACAGACTGTTGTATCTGCAAGAGCTTCTAAATGTGAAGCTACAGCAGGGGTGGGCAATCTCAGTCCACGAGGGCCGGTGTCCTGCAGGTTTTAGATGTGTTCTCGAACCAACACAGCTGATTTAAATGGCTAAATTAGCTCCTCAACATGTCCTGAAGTTCTCCAGAGGCCTGGTAACGAACTAATCATGTGATTCAGGTGTGTTGACCCAAGGTGAAATCTAAAACCTGCAGGGACACCGGCCCTCGTGGACTGAGATTGCCCACCCCTGAGCTACAGCCAGTTAACCTGCGTCAGCATAAAATAAAATGGAAACGGGGTTTAAAAAACAACAACAAGAAAACAGAATAAAACAGCCCAAAATATGAGTACCTGCAGTGCTAAAGTGTACATATTAGCATGTTATATCTTCTTGTTTGTTAAACTGAATTAACCAGGACAACAAGCTGGTGTTTCTGTAGCATCTACAATAAAGACAGAACCTAACAACAAGAAAACAGAATTTCACACAACAATGTTTCCATTATTGTGTATTCTTAAAATGTAGTTTGCAACATTTCATTATGGAATGCGTAGAAAAGTATAATGACTCGCAAAATGGACTTGTGCAAGTGCCTGGAAACTGCACTTACAGTAAGCACAGCACTTGAGTAAATCGACTTTGTTATTTTCCATCTATGACTAAATGCTACGTTACAGTAAGCTAATTACAGTGCATTATGTGCATGTTTTACCAATGCCCTCGTTGTTGGAGTGCAGCAGCTCCATCAGTGGAGCCGAAGCGCCCTCGGCGTCGATGAGCTCAGCTGATGGTTTGTCCACTGCCAGCTCGCACAGGACGCCTGCTGCCACGCGCTTCACGTTGTCCACTGGAGAGTAGAGTAGCTGTAGAAGACAAGAA